AAAATCATGTTCCTTGCAGTGTGTGCCAAGCCTCGCAGTGAGTACGGCTTCGACGGGCGCATTGGCCTTTGGAGCTTCACGCTTGAACGCCCAGCGAAGCGCAGTGACATCCGTACAGGAACTGTAATGGGCGAAACAATGATGCTGCAGGATGTGACCGTGGACGCGAAAGCCTACTGTGAGAAGCTCATCACAAAAGGTGGCGTGTTTGATGCGATGAGAACGCGCATGTGGTGGTTCCACAAGGATGCGAGATACCGTACGGAGGATGGTGTACGCGTTCCATGTGGGTCACTCGTGTCTGGCAAGTGGAAGTTCACCAAGACTGGTACACGCTGCCCAGAGGCCGGTGAAGTGCTGCACTATCAGCACGATGGAGCAAGACCACACACTGAGCGCGTGAACACGCAGCTGTTTCGATCCCACGGCGCAATGAAAGGGTTGCGGATTCAAGTTCTTGTTCAGCCGGCACAAAGCCCTGATTTGAATGTCGACGACCTCGCATTCTTCAGGAGTCTGCAGACCGACGTGAGTCTCGTAGCCAAGGAAAATCGGCGGGACTTGCTAGCCGCTGTCACTCAGTGCTGGGAGGATTATCCGGCCGATAAAATGGAATCGGTTTGGCTCTGCCTGTACGCCTCATTTCTCGGAGTTCTTGAAAGTGGAGGTGGCAACGAGTATATTCGCCACCGCGGATTACGAAGCTTGAAAGCTAGTGGCGGGGATGTCACCACAGTTCAGCGGAGTACAATCAAAGAGGCCGAGAAAAAGCTGAAAGAGCAGAAGAATCGACTCGAGCGGGATGAATACTCGAGTGCATCAGACGACGACAGCGATGAAAATGAGTCGAGCGAAAGCGACTCAGAATGAACTCTTTGCTGATGCCACCAAGCGTTCCACTTGTAGATATGTTGTACATAAGCTGAACTACCTTCGTTATGTGATTTATAGTCCATACAAACTGTTTTTGACCTGTTCCAAGAGTTAGTATTTCCATCAAAATCCATCACGAAGTTTTTGTTAACGGAGGAAGTAATAGTAAAATAAAAAGGACGAGCTGAAACAACATTTGGATTACTTTATTAACAATGTAAGCGATGGAGACGATGCAAGTGAAATGGGGAGCCGAGTGGTACAATACGGAAGCAGTACGGAACTAATACGGAGCTTGCCTGATGTATATTTAGTGTATCTCCGTATGTAAGCGTACGTCGTCTGCTGCATAAAAGCGGCTGCGCATTTCTGTTTTGATGAAGATTAGATTAGATTAGATCAGATTGGATAGCAATGAAAGCTAACTCGAAGAAGAAGGATTCAACCTCTAGGTGAGCACCGGAGAGAAAGTTATTTATTTTGCCGCTTCTTCTTTCATTAACAATTATATCTCAGGTGTGTACCTGAAAGTAGAATAAAAGTAATTCTTGTTGATTTCACCGCGCCTACCACTCGGCTACCCATTACATTGGTGGCAGCGGTGGGATTCGAACCCACGCCTCCGGAGTTACGTCGCGCAAAGTGATGCTATCCAATCTGATCTAATCTAATCTAATCTTCATCAAAACAGAAATGCGCAGCCGCTTTTATGCAGCAGACGACGTACGCTTACATACGGAGATACACTAAATATACATCAGGCAAGCTCCGTATTAGTTCCGCACTGCTTCCGTATTGGTCGGGCAGGGATACTACACCCTCCCTTCCTACAGATAATCACGCCCTCGTGATTCTCAAAAATTAGTGAAGAGTTATGAACAACAGCGTCACCCGGAAGATGGCAAATTATATCGGAAATGATAATGTTTAGAGTAGACAGAATAAATGAACTGATAACAAATCATAAAGTAGAAGCACACCAGGTTCACACGATCTCACGGGGTCAAAAGGGGAAAGAACTGTCCTCCAAATAGGACCTGAAAAACTACAGCACTCTTGCTGCACAACGCTGGCACAACCCGCCAGGAACATCGCAGTTCAAAACCGAACTGAACACACTATAACTATAAGGGGCGTTGTCACACACATTGTCCCACGTTAGCTGGGTAAGCCGTGGCTCACCATGATCAGACGCCTACCAAACTAAACTGGATTCACACACTCGCATAAAGGAAGACTGAAAAGAACAGGGAGACTGAAGGAAGACAGGAAAGAAAATGCCATACCTGGAATCAGCGTTAGTAACCACGGCAGCGGCTGGAGCTATGGCGGAGGGCGAGCCAGGTTTTATCTTCATCTTGGTTGAGCCGGTCACTCAGAGCGGCTAGCTCGGCGTCAGACAAATGACCTCCCTCCTCGTCTTGAATCATGGTCTTCACATTGTCGATAGCATCGAGTAAAGAGTGATGGTCGAGCCAGGAAGATTGTTGACGAAAATCTGCATCCCACCACGGAGGCGAAGTACCAAGTGAATAGTGGACTCCTGCTGAACGTTGTAGTCACTCAGGGTTCGGCCGTCTGCCAACTGCGTGCCGGCGAAAATCAAACGCTGCAGCCTGCATGTCGTCGTCCTCATCAGCTTCGCCATCACCACCGGTAGTATACATGTAGGTAGCGGGTCGCTTGGAATCGCCATCGGAGTCTCCAATGGATGCCGTGCGGAAAGAATGGTGATCCATGTTAGCACCCTGACTGTGCTGCAGGCTAATAAGCATGGCCAGGCCCAGGAAAGCATGAAACACGATTCTCATCTTGATTCGTCGCACGGAGCTGCAGCGGGTTGAGCTATGGGGGTCTGGGGTCGAATCACGTTGTTTTATTTTACAAAAACACACCGCTGCCACCAATGTAATGGGTAGCCGAGTGGTAGGCGCGGTGAAATCAACAAGAATTACTTTTATTCTACTTTCAGGTACACACCTGAGATATAATTGTTAATGAAAGAAGAAGCGGCAAAATAAATAACTTTCTCTCCGGTGCTCACCTAGAGGTTGAATCCTTCTTCTTCGAGTTAGCTTTCATTGCTATCCAATCTGATCTAATCTAATCTAATCTTCATCAAAACAGAAATGCGCAGCCGCTTTTATGCAGCAGACGATGTACGCTTACATACGGAGATACACTAAATATACATCAGGCAAGCTCCGTATTAGTTCCGTACTGCTTCCGTATTGGTCGGGCAGGGATACTACACAAGAAACCACCTAAAGGGCAAGGAAAATACATGTAAGAAGAAAAAGGCAATGGAAAAAAGATGATTCGAATCATCTTTTTTTCGATTGCCTTTTTCTCCTTAGATGTATTTTTCCTTACCCTTTAGGTGGTTTCTTCCATCGTCTCCATCGCTTAAATTGTTAATAAAGTAATCCAAATGTCGCTTCAGCTCGTCCTACTTATTGCCATATTAAAATTATTGTCTCCTCGTCGAATTTTTAAGTAAAATAAAAATAAAAATAAAACGGCATTATGCATTAGTCACCGCTTTAGGAGCTGCATCTGCGCCTTGTATTTATTTTTTGTATTTACATCATTATCTCATGGCACATCATGATGACGGCCAGTAAAACTGAGACAAGGGAGAAAGCCAACCACAGCAGTAAAACAGATAAAAGAATAAAAATAGGAGGCCTTGATCCTTGAAGGGTGGTGGCGTTCCTACTGATGCGGAAAACTCGGCCTCTATAGAGAAGCCGAGTCTGACGCGAAACGTGAATTTTTTTATTTTTTTATGCAGCTGTGTAAGTAGTAGACGCACAGTGTGATTGCCAGGCATCTCTGTCAGATGCAAATGGCAATTCTCATGCAGAGACATACCAGACCGTATTCGTCTAAATTTTGAAAAATTCAGACAACAGAAAAATTGTCGTTCACCAATCACCATACCTACCATGTGATTGCCGCATGGTTTTCAGCCATCCGGCAGGATTCGCAAATTTCCCAAAATCGATGCCTTTATATCCTGTCGAATAATCTTTGATAAAACTGGCAGTTTAACGTGTAAACTAGTGTTTGGAAAGGCGACATTCAGACTGCTTTGACCAATACACATACAGGACAATATGATTAAAAAAGTCATTATCCTAAGGTGCCTAGGATTTCAATTAAATTTATAACTACGTTGGAATCCTTGTCAACGAGACGAAATTCATTTCCGTCCCCATGCCTTTAGAGGTTTCTAGTGGCATTAGTGGCTTCGCTTTACTGTCAAACCTATTTACCACGACCACCAATGGACTGATGATAATTATTATTCCCGAAATTGGGGGTTCTTGCCATCCAAATTGTCTACCCAGTGAATAAAGCGTGATTTATCCCTTAGAAACAAGGAAGAACACACTGGAATGAGTTATGGGTTTCGTGCTTAGTTATAGCACTTCCCGGCTGCTTATTATCTTGTAGCAGTAGTAGACAATTGCTCAAAACTCGTACTCGTGTGTCCTTTCATATTTTTAGATCTACTTTTCGCTCAGAACCCGAGTTCCAAATGCCAACTTTCCCTCAAACCAACGAGCATACCGTACTCCCATGACTAGAGCCAGCCCTCTCTTGAACAGTGCTCAATCTCAGATAGTACCCCAGTCTCTGAGAGCCAGTGAAAAGTCAAGCCCTCTCTCGAAAAGTGCCTCCCCCCCCTCCCCCCACACCCCACCCGAGCTTCTAACCAAATGCATGGGAAAGTTTGGTGTTCTTTTACTAATGTTCTTGCGTATGACATTGCACTGGTGGGTTTCAGGATCAAAATTCCAGTTCTTGCTGCCGTTTGTGTTAAATCATACTAGTTTACAGTAAACTGTAGGCTCTGCTTTGCTTTGTTTTATGCTGGATGATGCAACTGTACCGACATAGAACAAATAGTGCCCTCTCGTGAATATTGCTCTCTCTTGACTAGTGACCCTTGTTTGGTGGACATTGGTAAAAAAGTGCCCCAGGCGGACTAATCTCGCGAGTAGGGTAATCCAAAAAGGATCAATATTGTAGTTCTTCTTAAAGGGGCGCGCGTGTTGGCAGTATCCTTACAAATGATGTTTTACTTTATCTACTTTTCTTATTTTTGCTACACGCTGAAGGTGTCCCGTTTGCCAGCCTGCTGCTCCTTCATTCTCTATTGCTAACTGACTGCAATGGTAAGAGATATATTATTACTTCAGAGTATTAGGGGGCGTTTATTGTCTTCATCAACTGTTCGAACAAATTTTTAAAAGAGATTAGTTGAAGTTTCCCATTAGAAAGGTTTCTATCAATTTTGAAGATTTTCAGTGGAATTGTCATGGCGATGATGACGTCCGATCAGATTGACCATCTCCACGCACTACGTGACATAGCTAGTCCAAAGTCTTCGGAACTAATCCACCTCTCCCATCGGACGAGGTTGCGGAGTTTCAAGGAGTTTCGAGGAGCTTCGTTTTTCTGAAGAGGCCAATAACGCCAACTCTTCAGAAAGACGAAACTCCTCGAAAAGTCAAAGAGTAACAATTCCAACGCGCCCTTAGTGTATTCAACTAGATCTGGCAGTGTCATTTCATGTGTTTGGAGTATCACTGGCGTTTTCTTCTCTGTGGTTTTTGCATGCTAGCATATGCAATGGCAAGTTTGCAGTGCAATACTTTTGCTAAATTATTGGCATGTTTGTGTGTGCTTCTTTGAGTTAGGTTTTTTTTTTTACTCTTTTTTGTTCCTATGTAGTTCAGGCCGTCGCTCTAACTGCTGGTGGTACGGGACAAACATATCCATTCAACGTGACATTTGGTGATGGACAACCTACAGCCAATGTTACCAATGTTACCTTATACTTACCAAAGTGCTATGTGAACAATGGATCAGGACCATGGATTCGACTAGAGAAGACTGATGGTAGTCTACTGTTGGCAGAGTTACGTAACTTCTCAGGATCTGCTTCTTTAAGTGTGGACAACGCAGCACATCCTATACTGACCACATCATACACTGGACTGTACCATTGCAGAACAGTGGATCACAACTCACCTCAAACATATCAACTCAACATTGTAGGTAAGTGCAAAAATGCAAATGGATCCCTTTTATGAGGAGAAATGAAGACCAAGGAACTACATGTACAAGTTACGCTGCCAGCTTTGCACGTTTAGCTTAGCGAAGTTACATGTTGTAGTAAACTTTGCACACCGATATGCAACATGCATATCAAAATGACTCTCTTTGCTGATTGAATACCACTGAAGTGATAGCGATCTACTAAGGCCGCGGTCACACATGTAACGTTTGCACCGCTTTTGCGGAGGCGAAAACCGTAACTACCAGAGACGCTTTGCGGAACACACGATGCAGCGGTCACACATACATGTACTGTTCTGTGTGCTTTGGCGGAGGGGATACAAATGCAGCACGTACACATAATATAAAATTAATTTAGATGTTCTTGTCCGAGTTGAAGTGACCTTCACTTGCAGAGCTATCGTGCATCGCTGACAAGCTGCTGGCTTTCTCCTCTCAAGTACACTCGTTGCCTCGGGGCACATTCACTGCGCCCGAGTACAGTACAGGTGTATTTGAATATTAGTTTAGTTTACATCGATATCAAATTCAAATAGTTGTATAGCAGGGTGTCGTTGCCTCCTCCATGATCCATTGTCGACCCCTGTGCGCATGGGACCAAGTGAACACTGCGGTACAGTGTGTTGTAGCGAAAATTAAGCTATTGCGGATTATGTTATAGTGAGAAATTTTTTTACAGAAGTATTGCGGTTTCGGTGGGGACATTTGTGTTTTATACGTCATATTGAGGTATATTTTATCATGAGGGTCGATAGCGAGGTCTGATGTGTAGTAATATACAAGCTGTCTGGATAAGTGTGGGGGGGGGGGCACGGCTGTTCACGCGCAGGCACTTATAAATATGGCGTCGTTCGGTGCGATTTATGTAACATTGTGCGAATAGTACAGATACGCGATGAGTTTGCGTTTTTGGAAGAAACTCATGTCGATCCTCGTGTGGTTCCACGATTTGGGACGCGAAACCAAGAGAAAGGTTTTGAAAGCAATCGAGCGAGATACTCGACATTTCGGCAATTTGAGAGAGAAAGAGGGTGGAAAGGTGACCTGGCCTGCCCAGTTAGCTGCCTTTCCGCTTCAAACTCGCTCAAGCTACTCCTGGCAGTCTGGAGATTGATCTCGCAAGTGATTGTCAGCCTCTGCATGGCCTGCTCGGGTGTACAAAAATCAAGTTAGACATTTCGTAATCGTTCAACGCACAATAGGGAAGATATCACAATTTTAAGCTCTCTTGGCGGGCTGCTGTCTTCTTCTACAATATCCCACATGCTGACTAAGCAATTCACAGCAGGAAGCAGCCTTCTACACTCAACAGCAACTAAAGGGCCACACCATTTGTCTTCCAAATCAAGAGAAAGCAGGCTCCTGACTCATCGCGCATATTTAGAAGTCCACGCGCGTATTCTAATGACACTTGGGGAAGACAACCAGAGGATAGTCCTCTACCTGGGAAAATATCAATTTAAGCTGGGAAAAAAATCGGGAAGGGCTTCTCGGAGACGAGTTTGTCAGCGACGACACAAGGAGTATTCCAGAACGAAGCCAAAGTCGCACGACACAGAACAAATGTTTCTTGAAGGAACGGCAGTCATGTGAGGTACGAGGGGAAAGCTTGAAACAGGACGCAGATGATCAGCGTGTTCCCTGGGCTGTCCGGGCTGACTAGTCTCCATAATCCAAGGGAAACCATGGCGTTCTCGTGTTCTGACGATTTGAAAATTCAAATATTCTTGCGGCCATATTGTTAAGTGGCGTGAAACCGCACAAAAAAAAACAGCCGGGGGGGGGGGGGGGCAACTCCCTTCCAATACGCATGTTGTTGTTTACCATTGCAAGCCAGAGGTTTGTGCAGAAATCTGACGAGGGGTCCTGCCCCCAAGTGTTTTTTTTTTTAAATTTCTGCTCATGGCTGCATATCCTCGCTTCCATTCAATGCACATACCGACATTTGTGCATTCTTCCATCACTACAGTCGTGGGGATTTGGTACAAAAGGTGTACTTCGAAGTACGTAGCCAATGAAAATCTACATATTTTTGCGAATCAACCTTTTTTCAACATCACGAAACAACTAACAAATTCACAAGAAAACAGTACGCCCACCGGCGCGCTGATTTTGGTCTGAGAATTTTCTATTACAGTACCGTCAAAATGTACGAGGAGCACTGAAAAATCAGCTACAGACGTACCTTATTGCACCCTACTACTTTATCAAGGCATGAAAGTCAAGTGTCCACTTTCAAACTGGGAACAAGACATACTAGTCAGGGGCGTCACCGGACCCCTTCACAGGGGGGGGGGGGGGGGGGGGTGCACAGGAATTTTGCACAGGAAAAAATTTGCACAGGAAATTTGCCCGACCATGATGTCATGGCATCGATAACAAAATCGAAAGCGTAATTAATAGCTTTGGATCATATAATAATATAATAATAAGAGTCCTGGTGGTGACAGTCAATTTTTTCTTCAGACTTTTCCCGTTTGTCTCTTTCCCTCAAACCAGTTAACATAATAGCATTACTTAGGAAATTAGAGGCCACATGCCACCTACTGCTCTTTTCTCTCCGAAACTCAACACTTGCAAGCCAGATATGAAAGGAAGAAGAGGCCTCTAATTTCCTACAACTTTGAAATTCTCCATGAAGTCCAAATTTGAAATTGCAATTTGTATTTGCTCGCAGTGGACATAGTTTGATGCCCTCCCCATGATATCAAGCGAATGGCCGAGGGCCCTCTTGATTGGTGTGAGTTGCCAGTATGTTGCAAGCCAGATGTGGATCGATCGAAGAAGGATAGATTTACCATCGCTGTGGATAAGAGTTATAATGTAGCTCAGTTGGTTAGAGCATTGCTCGTGAATAGCAAGGTCCCTGGTTCGACTCCCTGTGGTGTGACTGATGATTTTCTTTCTTTCTTTCATATCTGACTTGCAAGTGTTGAGTTTCGGAGAGAAAAGAGCAGTACGTGGCATGTGGCCTCTAATTTCCTAAAACTTTGAAACTCTCCATGAAGTCAAAATTTGAAATTGCAATAGATGTTGGGTTAGCTTTTGGGCTAACCCTAGTTAGCGATAAGACCGATGCGCTGCTCTCTATCGCATGCTAGCTGCGACTGATCTAGCTTTACACGTGCACTCAACTGCTGCGCATGCGTGCCCAAATCGCTTTGGGTAGCTCTTGCTGCGCTGACTTTGGCTTGCGCTTTCCTTTGCAGTGTCACTGAGCAGCAACCGGAATTTGTTTGAGGAGAATAGAATTAATTATTCAGACTCCTTGTAGCCTCCTCGCAGCCGTTTACTGCACGACAAACATGTTGTCTACCTCTGAAGCACGTAGTATGAACGTGTCGGACTTGCAGGCCGAGCTGGAAGGCCGTGGGCTGAATTCGAGCGGAACAAAGCCCCAGCTTCTTGCCCGTTTGCTGCTCAGTATCCAGGACACGTCGAGCTCGGCGGCACGGGAACCTCGATCCCCGTCGGCCACGCCATCCCTGCGGCAGGAGCAGGAGCAGGAGCAAGAGCAGGATCTGGAGAGTGTTGCAGCAGCTTCTCCGACTCCCAAGATCCCGGACCGGAGCAGGAATGACGATTTGCGCCAGTTTGTGCGGCAGGAAGTACATTCCGCCATCACCGTTGCCTTGTCGGAGGCGATCGCTCCAATGCTGGCCACCGGCACCATCACTGCCCCTGGATCCGCTGGAACTCAGCCTTCGGCGGAGTCTACCAATGCTGGTAATCTCTCCGTTCCCCAGACTATACGAGAGAAAATATTGAAGGGTGACTTTGTAGATTTCACCCAGCTGCTGCCCGATACTATCGCCACCTCGTATCCTGCCCCACGCCAGCTTCAGCTGCAGTTCAGCAGTGGCGGCCAGTCTCTGGAGGTGGTGGAAGGTGGAGCTGCCCAGCCCGTTCGTCGACGTGTCCACGACTTGCCGACATGGCTGGAGGCATGGACTCTCTTCATGAACGTCGTGTGTTCTGCCAACCCGTCCCGCCTGCAGGAGATGCTCTCATACCAAGCCACCATTGTTGCAGCCAACAGGCAATACTATCCGGAGGCTTGGCTGTCGTCCGACACCCAGTTTCGCTCTGCCTTTCTGCTCAGCCAGGCAAGCGCTTTGACGTCATCGACATCAATCTGTGGCAAATGTCCGTGACTAGCCGATCAAGGCCCACATGTGAGTCCTGCCGCCTCGTCCATCCCGGAGGCGGCCAGTGTCCCTTTCGTCCGCAACGTAACAACCAGCAAGCCTTCAATGGAGTCCGTACGGTGTCTAATGGCCAACCGATCTGTCGGAACTTCAACGCTGGGCGTTGCAGTCTTAGCACGTGCAAGTACGCCAATGTCTGCAACCGCTGCGTGTCCAAGGACCACAACGGGTCTAAGTGCGGTAGGCGCCAGTAACTCTGCTGCTTTGGCTGCAGTTCTACTGATTTCACAAGCGCATGTCCTGCTGTCCAGACACCCCTCTCTGTTTCTCGCTTCGAATCACTGCTCCGTAACCACCCTGACAGTTCATTGGCTTCGTATGTTATTAACGGCCTCCGCTGCGGCTTTAACATTGGCTTTACCGGCAAGCGCATAACTAACCAGCACTCGTCCAACCTCTCATCACCATTCCAGCACTCTGCATTTGTGTCTGCACAGCTCACCGGTTCCTGCAACGCCGGCTACACGGCTGGCCCATTTGACACGCCCCCATTCCCATTTATATACTGCTCTGGCATTGGCGCCGTTCCAAAAAAAGAATTGCAAGCTACGCTTGATACACCACCTGTCCAGCCCTGCCGGCTCCAGCGTTAACGACGGGATCCCTGCCGAGCCTTTCTCCTTGCAGTACATCAGCATTGATGAAGCCATTGACATCATTATGTCCTCCCCGTCTCCTGTCTATCTCTCTAAACTCGATGTGAAGAGCGCTTTCCGTCAAATACCTGTCCGCCCACAGGATTGGCATCTCCTCGGCATCCTGTGGCTAGGGGAAGTACTACTACGACCGTGTCTTGCCATTTGGGCTCCGCTCTAGCCCGGCGGTTTTTGATGCCGTGGCAGCCACCATCGAATGGATAATGCACCACGAATTCTCCATCCTTAATTTGCTGCATTTCCTGGACGACTACTTGTGCGCGAGCGTGGGCCAGGCAGTGGCGAATCGGCAGCTGGCCATTCTTCTCCGTGCATTCTCATACCTCGGAGTCCCGCTCGCGCCTGCTAAGGTGGAAGGCCCGTCTCGAACCCTGACATTCCTGGGCATTATCCTGGATTGTGAGAAGATGGAAGCCCGGCTCCCGGACGACAAATTGGCTGACATCAAGCGCCTGTTGACTGCAGCGGGCATCAACCCCACCCTGTCTCAGCGCGAACTCGAATCTCTTCTGGGGAGCTCTCCTTCGCTGCAAGAGTCATCGTACCCTGCCGGACGTTTATGCGGCGCCTGTGGTCTATTTGCAGTCGCTACCAGCAGCCTCACTACCGCATCAGTCTGACTACCGAGTGCCAGGAAGATATCCAATGGTGGCTACGGCTCCTGGAACAATGGAACGGAAAGTCATTCTTCCTGTTCCCAGATTGGACACCATCTCCAGACTTGGAGCTGTTCACTGATGCCAGTGGCACCCTGGGCTGGGGCGCATTCAACAGCGGCCGCTGGCTTCAAGGGACCTGGTCTCCTGAGCAACTCGCTCACAGCATTGAGTGGAAGGAGCTCTACGCGTTGGTCACAGCGTACTGCACATGGGGCAAGGAATGGCGCCAGCTTCGTATCACAATGCACTGTGACAACAAAGCTGTGGTAGATTGCATCCGCTCCGGCACATCCAAGTCACCGCCAGTGATGACCCTGATCAGGGGGCTGTTCTTTGTGTGCGCCCGCTTCAATTTCAACGTCACTGCTGCTCACATTGCTGGCCAGTCTAACTGCATTGCCGATTCGCTGTCTTGTTTCCGCATGGAGGAATTCCGGCGTCTCGCCCCAGCTGCTCAAGCACAACCAGAAGAAGCAGTGCTGCCATTCCAGTCGATGTAATAGCCTTGACATACAGGTACCGATTGTCATTGCTAAATTGCCGTGTTGAGAACCTGCGTTGGATTTCATCCATCTGCATGCCTACCTTTATCCATCTCGTGCCTTGATCACTTGTTCTTAGCTCTCGTGCATTGGTGGTGAACGCTTGCTGGGGTGCCGTGTGCTGGTTTTCTGGGAACAGCTTCCTTCAACTGGTTGCTTTGCTGCTACTATCTCTGCTTAAAATTGCATAGTATTGGTCGGCTGTTTGCGACGCCAATCAGTAGTCATTGCACCCGGTCGCGGGTACTATTGCCGCTCAAGCATGAGCGATTGCTTTGGCCGTTTGCAACGCCAATTGCTTCACCCTGGTCGGCTGCTTGCAACGTCGATCAGGGGGAACTTTGCACCCGGTCGCGGGTACTGCTGTGGCTCAGTCGTGAGCGATCACTTTGGCTGTTTGCAACGCCAATCGCTTCACCAGTTGATCGAAACCAGCACACTGGTGTACCCCAATCATCCTTGTGCGGTGTTTTGAGAATACGTGGGTATGCATGCAGCTTTGCTCTGTGACTTTCCATTGCATGTGGTCACTTGGCTCTCCCATTTCCTATACACTGCTCTGATGCGTTCGGGTGCAAGCGCTAAATGTTGGGTTAGCTTTTGGGCTAACCCTAGTTAGCGATAAGACCGATGCGCTGCTCTCTATCGCATGCTAGCTGCGACTGACCTAGCTTTACACGTGCACTCAACTGCTGCGCATGCGTGCCCAAATCGCCTTGGGTAGCTCTTGCTGCGCTGACTTTGGCTTGCGCTTTCCTTTGCAGTGTCACTGAGCAGCAACCGGAATTTGTTTGCCACCCACCCTCCCATTCCCACATTATATAGGTGGGAACAGCTTCCTTCAACTGGTTGCTTTGCTGCTACTATCTCTGCTTAAAATTGCATACTATTGGTCGGCTGTTTGCGACGCCAATCAGTAGTCATTGCACCCGGTCGCGGGTACTATTGCCGCTCAAGCATGAGCGATTGCTTTGGCCGTTTGCAACGCCAACTGCTTTGCCCTGGTTGGCTGTTTGCAACGTCGATGAGCGATCACTTTGGCTGTTTGCAACGCCAATCGCTTCACCAGTTGATCGAAACCAGCACACTGGTGTACCCCAATCATCCTTGTGCGGTGTTGTGAGAATACGTGGGTATGCATGCAGCTTTGCTCTGTGACTTTCCATTGCATGTAGTCACTTGGCTCTCCTATTTCCTATACACTGCTCTGATGCATTCGGGTGCAAGCGCTAACATTAATTAGAGGTGATACGAATATACCGAACATTCGAATATTCGTTCGTTAGGCCACAGCGAACGAACATTCGTAGTTCTCACGAACATTCGAACTTTGAGAATGTGCGTACGGTACGATAAACCCGTAAAAACATCGTGATCACTCATGATCGTTTCACACACCGCCTGTAGAATATGTGTAGCTGCGTGCTTGTTACCAGCGCTACGCCAGGTGGTACACAACCTGCACGCGCGCGCGGTTCACGATCTAAACCAGCACTTGGCTGGAGTTGTGGAGTCGTGTCGACAACATGTAGACGAATATCGGAACAAAGCATGAGTACTCATACATGTACTTACATATTTTTGCTGCTCGCTTTTCCTTTGACCACTTCGTAGTTTTCTTTTGTTTCGAGTTCACACTGTTCCCATGTCAGAATCTGTTGTCGGTCGTGCTCCCCGTTCTGTTGTTTGGGATCATTTTACTAAATCCGAGGATAAGAAGTCAGCTACTTGTACCTGCAGGATTCCCCGTAGCGCAAACCGACGAGCAACCTCTATGCGCAGCTGAGAACACAAGTACGGTAACTTTCAGCATTCTTCTGTCGTCTCCGGGAGTGCAGTTATTTCTACGGCATCAACACTGAACAGGAAGCAAGTTGATGACAAACATTGCTGTGACGCACCGTTCTGGTCCTCAGCAGTAGCAGTATGGCATTGCTCAGTTGGAGGCCATTGTGCCTCAAATTTGGAAAGCATCATAAAAGACGTACTGTAAAGTTAGAAACTTTCGCAAGTGATTAAATTTCGCTATTTTCGCGGCCATTGCGCATTCTGGAGAAGAAAAATCGCCACAAACTGCTCAGTACGTTCATTGCAGACAGCACAACTACAATATTCAAAAGAGGTAAAAATCGAAAATAATTCTGATCACAAACCAGCCGCATTCACGAAAACGCAAAATTTGTGCGCCACAAAAGTTTATTGCTATAATAATAATAATAATAATAATGCTAATAATTGCTATACTGTATTCCAAAATTCCACTATTTTCTTGCCTATGCCGGTTCATGCGCGAGCACGCGCGTGCGACGAGAATGTTAGAGAATGTTCGTTCGTTCGTTCGTTAACATCGAGAACGTTCGAATCTCAAATTTTATGTTCGTTTCAGCACTAGCATTGATATCAAATTCAAATAGTTGTATTGCACGGTGTCATTGCCTCCTCCAAGATCCATCATCGACCCCAGTGTGGATGCCTGTAGTTGCAGTGACTCCATGTGAGGGTGTGGCAGAATACTAGTTCGCTACTACACGCTGGTTGCAGTCCTAGTGTTGCATACTCTGATGGACGCATTGCTTGGAAATAAGAGAGGAGAGAGTTGGATATCATGCACGATCCCGGCCAAGGAGTTGTGAGATGGATTTCCCCACCAACTATTCACTCACAATGATGTAGTATCGTTTGAGAGATCTCCAGAACACATTGCGAAAGAAGAACAATATGAAAACCGAATACCAAACGGCAACCAAACAACACCAGAAGTCCATGCCAGAAGATGCACACTAAACTCCAAAGTCATCACCATGCAGGTGCCGCCCAAGCGGATCCGCGAATGCAGAGGTTCCGCTTGCATTATTTTGGCATGGCGAATCCAAACTTTCCGCCGAAGCGTAAGTACCGCTTTGGTGGCGCCGCCAAAAAGTGCATGTGTGACCGTGGCCTTATGAGCCACTCTGATCAACTCAGGGAGTGTGTGTATAACTTCTACAGTGTGTCTACAGTATGTGTTGAAAACATTACTTCGAAGTACACCTTATGCCCCAGGTCCACACACGTGTAGTTTTTGGAGGAACGCATGAATGCCAGTATGTTGGTTGAATGGAAGCAAAAATATGGAGCCGTGAGGCGACATTAAAAAAAGTGATTCAGCCCGGAAAGACACCTGACAGTATGACATTTTTGTGTTCTACTGACGTCTCTGTGCGCATGGGACCAAGTTAACACTGCGATAGAGTGTGTTATAGCGAAAATTAAGCTATTGCGGATTATGTTATAGTGAGGAAATTTTGTACAGAAGTTTCGGCAGGGACACTTGCGTTTCGTACGTCATGTTGAGGTTTATTTTATCGTGAGGGTCGATAGCAAGGTCTGATGTGTGGTAATATACAAGCTGTCTGGATAAGTGGGGGGGGGGCAACTCCTGCCCCAATTTTTTTTAAATTTATGCTCACGGCTGCATATCCTCGCTTCCATTCAATGCAAAATACCGGCATTTGTGCATTCTTCCAACACTTCAGTCGTGTGACTTGGTACAACAGGTGTACCGTATTTTTCGGAGTATAGTGCGCACCTTTGTATAACGCGCACCCCCAATCTTCGTTGGGGATGCGCACTTCAATCTTCATTGAAGTACATGCATTTCATATTCGGAGCATAGTGCGCACCTGAGATTTAGGGCCTAAATAGCACATCTAAAGTGCGCACTATACTCCGGAAAATACGGTACTTCAAAGTACGTAGCCAGCAATCACTTGTCCTCGAGTACATTGAAAATCAACATATTTTTTCAGCATCACTTTTTAACGAGGACGCGGCAAAGTTGGATGAACAAAGCATAGATGAAGACGATCATCCTGCCCACTTCACCATCATCTGCCATAGGTACGAGGCGAAACAACTAAACAATTCACAAGAAAAATGTACGCCCACCGACCCGCTGATTTTGGTCTGAGAATTTTCTGTTACCATTAAAATGTACGAGGAGCACTCAAAAATCAGCTACAGACGTACCTTGTTGCACCCTCCTCCTTTTTCAAGGAACAAAAATCGTCTGTCCACTTGCAAACCGGGAACCAGCTGCTCCTCGGGGCGCAGGTAATGTTCACCAAGGGCGCAGAGCAGCATCCGTTCCAGAAAAACAGCTAAATTTTAAGGAAGTTGCTTGCTTGAGTACGTGAGTAACAAATTGTATTCTTTCCAAATCCACTTTGGAGTGAACCTAGTCGAACGTTCCAATATTCGCTTCACCCCAAAGCAGTATGTAGGGAATTTAACGCCTTTTCCATATGATTATCATCAGAAATCATTATTACACTGAAAGCGAAATACTACATGGTGCCATACAGTAAACATTACTTGATCTAAAACTAATATGGGAAACACTGACATCCTAAAGATTGCAAATCATGAAGGCGTCATAACATGGCAGCGTGGAGTCATGTGAAGCATGGAGGTAATTACATCGTGCAGTCCCTTGTTTGCACACCGCGTCATTATGTTTCTGTGGCAGATTTTATTACGAGAAACTACGAAATTTGAGAACAGATTACTGTATTACATAGGTGGCTGCAGTCCCAGCTGTGGTGGTGAAACCGGAGTATTTCCGCCGACCTGAGGTCTCGGATTCAGCGACACTTCAGTGCAACAAAAACGGAAGGTGAAAATGGAAAAGGAATGGAAAGATGGTACTTGTAGTAGAATAATACGATTGAGCCAGTGTGAAAGCGGACAGAGTGTTCAAGGAGGGTTTAGAGGGCATCTGTGGCTGAGAGCCAGTATCGACTACGGGAGACTTTTAGCCGTCTTCCTTGCATGCCTGCACTCCGTTCTACATGGGAAGGTTGCGTAGCAACTGCACTTGGAGTATCATGATGGTCATATTGAAGGGCATGTGTTTGGGTTATGCTGAGCTCACTGACCTTTTCAGATTGAGCACTCTGGCAAGGTACATTCGGGCCTGGTTTAAATCTGGCTTTGGAAAATGTATTTCTTATTGCGATCTGGCTCGGCCTTTCCCTGTGCTGCGCTGATGAGTCCAGAAAAGAGGAAAGAGTTCTTTCTGTGAATTGAGTACTATTGTGTGTACACATATGTGTGTGTATTTGTGTGTGTATGTGTGTGTGTATGTGTGTATGTGTGTGTGTATGCATGTGTGTGTGTGTGCTTGTGTGTGTGTGTGTGTGTGTGTGTGTGTGTGTGTGTGTGTGTGTGTGTGTGTGTGTGTGTGTGTGTGTGCATGTGCGTGTGTATGTGTGTGTTTGTGTGTGTGTGTGTGTGTGTGTGTGTGTGTGTGTGTGTGTGTGTGTGTGTGTGTGTGTGTGTGTGTGTGTGTACGCATGTATGCTCGTGTGTTCACATCAACATTCTATCCCCATGATAATGTACAGCCCAGCAGAATCGTACTACTGTCACTTCTACAACAATGGTTTTCGACTACACTGGTCAGAGATATGATATACCATGTAATACTGTGGGTTCATCAGGTATGAATGTCACTTGGACATCCACTTTAGATCTTAAAACAAAGATGGTGAACACAATGAATGGAATATCTCAAAATGGACTGTTGGAATACGTGAACTCTACTTTCAGCTTCATGGGAAATGATTCCAGTATTATGCTTACCAGAGATAACCCAGCTGGTGTGCGGTTCAATGTGACATGCACTACAGCATACAACACCAGTTTTAATTGTAGATTTGCCGTAAATACTTCTGCAAGTGATAAGCAGGTACCCCAGGATATACTGGACCGATGTGATAGAGCAGTCAAGTCTTTGTCAACAACGTACTCCATCAGCATTCAAGGTAAGAGACACATGTCCATATAAGTTAACAAAGTGCAATGAACGTCTGGTCTCGCAGGACCTATTGCACAGACTTGGTATTGTCTTTCAGCCTTTGTCAACAACACAACCCATCATGGTGAAAGGCAACAAAGGTTTGTTTTCTTTGTTGCCCGCGGCGCAGTTAACGCAGAATTATCTGTCCGTGCAGTGAACTCGCGACCAAGCAGACAATGCATACCTGCCAAGTAACCAGATTTTTTTCAGGATTATACCGCAATTTTGGATGAACTCCCGTGATCCCGAAATTCCTGTCGGTTATCCCGAAATTCACTGTACCAGAAACAAGCTTGATATTGTATTTGGAGCACTTCACATGACTTATCACAGGCCAGTAGTTGTCCTTATTGATTCCGGACCACCATAGCCTGCAGTACCAGTGCTCCTTCCATAAACAGTCCCTGAAAAACCTCCATTTTTGAGTCTTGAACATGCGTCAGTGTGATCCGATGATCACCATCAATCATTTATTATCGAAATGTTGGTGCCATCAAAAGTGGGAAAAGGTTTTTTAGGAAAAATACGACATACTGTAAATATACAAATATTCGGCAGCTATTTAATTTCGGCTATATTCGGCACCGTCCCAAAACGCCTAAATTAAAACACCGATGAAAATTTTCTCAGCATCTGTCGCACTATACCATGCCCTCTACCCCACGCCGAAAATAAATCGCCGCCGAAATGTCAAAAATCGTGAAGTGCCGAAATTTTGCAGTGCCGAAATTTTGTATATTTGCAGTATCCCGAAAAACCAAGGCAAATCCCGGGATTTTGCCATAGCGATCCAGAAAAATCACTCTCAGTAATTGGCTGGTATGACAATGCCGGAAGTGGTTTGCGAAGAAGGCAAGGGCCAGGGCTTCGCGGTCACTGGCGTCATAGTTACGCTCCGCGTGCGTCATTATTCGGCCACCCAACGAAATGGCGCGTTACACCTGGTCCTGTACCTGGCTCAGTACACCACCTATGGACACTTTAGAGGCATGTGTGTCCAAATAGAAGGGGCCGGCATCCCAGAATGCCATAACCGGAGCACTCGATAGCGCAGACTTCAGGGCGTGGAAGGAAGCGTCACAAGCGTTCCTCCAGAAAAACTGCGTATTCTTACCTGTGAGAGCCGTCAGTGGGGCTGACCGCTGCGCAAACTCACGGGTGAATCTGCGGCCATAGCCCGCGACACCAAGGAACGGCCTGACCGCAGTGACAGACTTCGGCGTCTTCCATGCAAGAATCGCGGAAACCTTGTCCGGATCGGGGCAATTCCGTCTGCCGACACGCGGTGTCCAAGGAACGCGACATCTGACCGGAAAAAGGAACACTTTGCCAAATTGAAACGCAGGCCTACTGAACGCACACGCTCAAACACCCCAAAAAAATCAAAACTTGGTTTGACAATGTGTCGCTCGCATTGAGAGCATCATCGAAGAAGGCAAGTTTGTTTGTCCGCCTGAAGCCGTGCCCTGTCCTCCCGACTGCCAACCGCCCGCCGTTACTGCTTCTCGTCCTGACCCACTGACGCTACCCGATGTTTACGAGCCACGCTGCGTTCCGCCGCTACAGCCCTCGTCTTCTGGTCCTGTTCGTCCTTCTTCTCCTGTTCCTCGTCCTTCTGGCCGTGTTCGCACTGCACCTGCTCGACTAACTGACTATGTCTTGGACTGAGTATATGAGCCAGCGCAAGCAAAAAGGGACGTTATTTTGCGGCACGTGATTTTTTTGAGAAAATGGCACTTGAAGTGAATCAGCTGATTTCCGGCTGTCACCTTCGGATCAAACTTGAAACTGTGCGTTTTTCGGTGATACGTGATTTCTTTGGAGCAAATTCGCTCTGTGTATAGGAGAGCCAGTATCCTGCTGCTCCTGTAGAAGAAAACCCTGTCTAAATCGACCCCAGACCAAGCATCAGCGATAAAAATCGATCGATCGACAGCGCGACCTCCGCTGCACGCGCAGCATGCGCGAGCTGAAAAGACAAAGGAACTTGCTTTCAGCGCAGCTGCCTTGCTGCCTTCGCTTTCCCCTGAGTCCTTGGGTGGCTACTCACCATGAGCTACCATCAACGAAGCTCTGAAACCTCTCCTAACCTGGGAGATGATGAGGCTGAATTTTTGGGCGAGAAAGAGAGCGCCATTGAAAAATCAAATCAATCTGAGGACGGGAATAATGACTCGGGATGACCAAAGTGAACATTATCTTGAACAGCGAGTGGATGTGGACGCAGCAGCAGAAGTGTAGGTCGTAACGACTGCACCCAAACTTTCCCAGGCTACCTCTTACCTCTGAAGCCACGCAGCATGAAGATGTCACATGAAAACGTGCGATGTTTTTTGGGAAAATAGAGTGGAACAAATGTCCGTAACTTTGCTATTTGTGTATCGATTTGAATCAGTTTTTCCATGGGATTCGTACATCTTCTGGATACAAGAATCTGTTGATAACTCAAAATGCACAAAAACCGGGATAACGTCCCTTTTCGCTTACTCTGGCTCATATTATTTGGTTTGTTTTCTTTTTTTTGCTTCCTAGGCTTTCGTTCATCCCCGTCGACGTAAATGTTTGCTAGGGGGCACAGTGTAATAGGTGTATGTAAACAAAGACTTACATACTCCCTATTCGTATTTCCCGCTCGGTCCCCTTAGCAATGAGAGCCACTCTCGTGTAGAAGAGCGGGTACTCCAGGGGTTCTCCAGTCTACAGTTGAGTCGTTGTTGTCCTGTTCTCCTTCGTTCTTGTCTACAATCTTGTCGAAATACTTATTCCATATTCAATACTATAAAATCCCTGTGTTCTGGAAGTGTGAGGGGACTTCGCTTAGGCTGTCATCACACCATGGTACAAAGTGCTGCGTCTACGTCCACGTAAGGAGTTTTTGGTCGGTTGTCATGATGATCCGTATACGGGATGAAAACGGGAGCAGAGGAAACGGGAGACGTAGACGTGGTATGGAGAGGGGGGGGGGTATACGGCTTTTTGTATGAACGTGCGTATCTCCCCCAGCCTTTTTCCAAGCGACCCTGTGCTTCGATGTACGTGGGTTCAAATTTCTCCAAAAACCTGACTGTATGTACGCGTCAAGAATTGTGCCTGTCTAGTACGCCTGATGACACGACCACCTGTTTTGGTTTTTCACCATAGACGTAGACGTGACCGGGAGTTGGAGAACGTGGTGTGATGACGGCCTAAGGCTGTCATCACACCATGGTACAAAGTGCTGCGTCTACGTCCCCGTAAGGAGTTTTTGGTCGGTTGTCATGATGATCCGTATACGGGGTGAAAACGGGAGCAGAGAAAACGGGAGACGTAGACGTGGTATGGAGAGAGGGGGGGGGGGTATACGACTTTTTGTCTGAACGTGCGTATCTCCCCCAGCCTTTTTCCGAGCGACCCTGTACTTCGATGTACGCGGGTTCAAATTTCTCCAAAAACCTGACTGCGTGTACGCGTCAAGAACTGTGCTTGTCTGATGACACGACCATCCGTTTTGGTTTTCACCATAGACGTAGACGCAAACGGGAGTCGGAGAACGTGGTGTAATGACGGCCTAAGCCAGGAGCTAACACAGGTATGACTTTGGCCGTATTTCAGCATGGTCGAGTGGAATCATTCAAAAAGATTTATTTCAAGAAAACCCAAAAAGGAAGATGGGGGACATGTCCTCATTGTGCCACGTGTCCTGTGGAGTTGATGTAGTAGTTTTTTTTTGATTTTGCTGGTAGTTTGCATAATGAGTTGAGTCCATTGCTTATCGTCTTGCAGTGTAACTCAAAAGGTGCCTATGTTGGTGGGCCTGCAGCAGGAGAGTAGCATGGAGTGTGATATGGATGCTGTGGTGGGGTCAGAAATAAAGGACGACTGGTTTCGTGGTGCTTACGAGGAGATGCCAATCCTTCAATTACCGTCCTGCTAAGTGGCGCATTGTAGAAATGCAGGAGATAAATCCCTCGTGTAATGCGTCGCAATGAGTGCCGTGTCATCGGTGCTTGGCAATGTGTCTCGTGTTAAGGGCAGCGGCCTGCAGCAGGTACTTGTGCAGCGCCGTCTCCAGATTATCACTGATCTCGTCGCTGTCACTGGCTTGACGGTCAAGGTCCAGTGGTTCAGCAGTCAGCAGAACAAGGCGGATGAAAATCCGTGTTCCCAGCAGCTGGGTCCGATGTGGCAAGATGCTCCTTGCTCAGACTGCACCGTCCGTCACCGCTGCGGTAGTGACCGTTGGTCCATTCTCATTGGATAGAGTATCTGCTGCTCAGAATGCAGATCCTCGGATTGTTTCGACTCGCCAGCAAGTAATCGATGGCGACCCAGTTACTGATCCTGTGTTTGTCAAGATGAAGTCACAGCTCGTAGTCCATGATGGTATGCTGTTTCGAAGTGTGAAGTTGCCGCCCAATGATGCAGTCGTCATTCCTGTTATTCCTAGTTCACTCGAGTCCGATGTCGTTCATGCTGCTCATGTGAACTGTGGTCATGCGTGTGTGGAGGGTACATGGCGCTTCCTCCGCTCGAAGTGCTATTTCCCGAACATGACTGCACAATGTCAGCAGTTTGTGCGCCACTGTTTGCTGTGTGCTGCTGCCAGCCCAACCAAGGGCATTTTGGCGGAGGCCAGTCGCCCTGTGGTGGCTGACGGCCCATGGAGTGTTGTGGAAATTGATACTCCGGAACTGGGCGTCGATCAGAGTGGAGAGTACCATTGTGTTCTCGTCTGCATGGATACTTTCACCAAGTGGGTGGAGGTGGTTCCGCTCTGTCAGCATGACGCGGCATCAGTGGCCGAGGCATTTGTCGGCCTGTGTACGCGGTGGGGCCCGCCCCAAGTTGTCCACTGTGATAATGGCACGGGATTCATCAACGCCGTGATGTCATCGCTGTTTGACACGTTTGGTGTGACAGTGCTCAACGGTGCCGTGCATCATCCCCAATCACAGGGATCTGTTGAACGGTTTACCCCCACTCTCC